AAAAGAAAAAAGAATAAATCATGCAAGCAGAGCCCTGAAATAAAGTCATTCGGTGACTGTGTGTTTACAGCTTCCAGAATTTAGGAGAAATGTAAAACAGTCTGCGAAATGGACCCAGAACTGAGGAGCTGGAAGGCTACGAGGCAATCAAACGGCCATGACAGCACAGCACAAAATGAGAAATGCGGGGCGAATACTAAAATGTAAGTTTAATAGCGAAAATGAAAAATGTGGGAAACAGACTGTGAAATTACTTGAAAAATTAGGCAGTAAGGGTGCAGTTTAGATTCTGAGCCTGTCGGACAGCGACTGAATGAAGACCCAACTCTCACTCTTAATCTCCCCCTTCCTCACTCCGTGCATCTTCCCGTCTACTTCAGACTCCACTGACGAGGTTCAGACTCTCTCCTGTCCTGAATTACTCCTGAATTTTTTTCGTTTGGTTCTTCTGTTTGTACATTTGCTTTTATTCGTTCTCCTGAAAGTTGAGTTTACTGGTCCATTTCCCACTCTCAGCTGTGAACGACCCGTTGAGACCGAATGAAATGGACCTCCTCGGTGCGAATGCTTTTCAAAGCCGGCGTGCGAACGCGTAACATGTTAATTGTCTTCGTTCACAGCAGAACGCACCTGGCGGCAGGTATTGTTACGTTTCAAACAAAATGTCTTAAACTCCTGTTTTTGTGATGCCCTTTTTGCACAATTTTGTATCCATCAGGTCGTCCTATTATTTCTAACTGAGGCTGAAGCTGATGGCTCTTTTCTTTCCTGCAGGCTCTGAATGGGCTTTTTGGGGTCCTGCAGCAAACACAGTCGGTCCATTTTCAGTGAAAGATGATGCTTCTGCATTACGGCGTCTGACAAAAATCTATGCATCTATCTGTTCGTGTCAGCTCCGACTGTTTGGATACGCAATAGTTAAAGCTTTTATTTCAGCCAGGATTTTATAAAACTTTTTATTTGTATGACCAACAGCTGTAATCAAACCAAATGTGATTTGTAAGTAGAAAAAGAGGTGGAACGGAGACGTGTTTGGCATGTTTGCTTGTAAACTGACGTCGCTGATTAATCCATTTATGAAACGCCTGACATTTCATTTATTTTCCGTCTGAAAACTGAACAATTAATCAAATATTTTCTGTCAGCTCTATTCTTAAGCGTAACATTTCTTTTACACGGCGAGCCTGCGGCCCGTTCAGCTGCACAGAGCGGCCGCGCGCATTTTTGCATTGGCGACGCCGGTCGGCATCGTCTGATAACGCCGCCACAGATATTCATAGACTCTGACATTTTAATAACAAAGGTAATCTTTTGATCAGATATATCCTGTTAATAATATCGAATCACGTGTGCCGACCTCACTGGATGGTGTTTAGACATTTATACACACACTCAGTGGCCACTTTATTAGGTACACCTCGTTAATACCAGTAATCGCCTACTTTGTGGTTCAAATTCAACAAGGCGCTGGAAACATTAATCAGACATATTGGTCAATATTGACAGCTTCACACAGCTGCTGCACATCAATGTGAATTTCCAGTTCCACCACATCCTGAAGCTGAGCTGGTGATTGTGGAGGCCATTCAAGTAAAGTGAACCCATTGTCACGTTCAAGAAACCAGTTTGCGCTTTGTGACACGGTGCATTACTCTGCTGGAAGCAGCCATCAAATGATGGGCACACTGCTGTCATAAAGGAATAATGTTCAGCAACAACACTGAGGTAAGCTGTAGTGTTTAATGAAGGCTCGGCGGGTACTAAGGAGCCCAAAGTGTACCGAGAAAATATCCCCTACACTGTTACATCTCCACCAGCAGCCTCAACGACTGATACGAGCCAGGATAGAGTCATCCTTTCTCTTTCTAGTCTCTTCTGTTGTGCAGTTCTGAGGATACAGCCCATTGGATCTGTATCCTCAGTTTCCTGTTTATAGTGGCGTGGTCTTCTGCTGCTGCGGCCTGATGTGTTATGCATTCAGAGATGCTCTTCTGCAGACACTGCTTGTAACAAACGGTTATTTAAGCTACCGTTTCCTTTGTATGAAGCAGTCTGGCGTCCTCTGATGTCCAACATCATCAAAGCTTTTCACCCGAAGCTCAGCTTGAACTTCAGCAGATCAACTTGATCACATGTATGTGACTAAATAAAATTCTGCCATGTGATTGGCTCATTAGATATTTGAGTTGACAACCAGAAGCTTGACAGATTTATCATATTTATCACTACCCAGTGTCAGGTTTATACCACAGTATTGGTAATTCTGTACTGGTCAGTTCATCATTTCAATGCTAAAACATCATTGTTGTTACTGTTATCCATGAATTTTCAAATATACTCTTTTACAAAAAAGTAACACGCATCATTATTTTTTTAGTTAAGATGTCAAATTCCAAATTATTTAATTGCGCTCCTGAGCAGATACATTTGTTTCAGTGGTTGAATTTTATGATTGTTTGATTTCGGACTTCTCAGAGAGATTCTGTGTTTTGGCTCAAAATTTGCTACAAAAACACAACTTCAGTTAGAAATTTCAAAATTCAAAAATAGTAAAAAATAGTAAAATGTCTAAAATGTCGAGAATGCGTCGAACAGGAAAGAGGCTGTATTAAACCACTTTGCGATGCAAGCTGGCCTTTGAAACAAATGGGGTAAAAAGTGTTCTTGCAGTGTGGTCAAGTATGCCTCGGAGTTGATTGCCGGGAGCCGTACTTACAAAAATGCATCAAGGAAGAAGAAAACGAAAGCTGGCTGAAGAGAATGTCGGGCTAAAAGTCAGTGCTAGAAGGAAGAAGACCAGACAGAAGGATGCTCATTTAC